TAAATTTTTCGAATGTCAAACGGTTTTATATATATGTTTTTTTTTTTTTTTTTTAATGTCGAGACCAATCAAAATAGACGTTGTTAAAAGCACGCGCGCAAGAGTGTAAAATAATATGTAATTAGCGGAGAATTCACCGAATACCAAACTTCGGGGTATCGAAGCCACCGCCGTCAAACGTGTCGACATTTGACCCGATGCGCGATTCAACAGTAATTAAGATTAGTATTCATCGTTGCACGTTGCCTCGTGTATTCAACTGGAACTGCCAAGGTATATCGCGTGTATCAATACGGAAACATCGATAGCTACGATTGATCTAGCGACCCAATAATATTTCACCGACAATTGAGTATCCCGTGTAGGACGTGTAATAGAACGTCTCGCTTTGTCTGACGAGTAATGGCCTTTACCACTGTGCAAGTGATCCTACAGCAACAGCAGTTCTATGTTCTAATACACAGCTGGCTGGTTGTTACCCAAGTTAGTGGCAATGTTGAACACCAATATCGCTATCAATGGCTGAGTGAAAGTAGCGATCAGTATGTCATGTTACTGAAATTTTTATCTGGAATGAAACGTATCGTAGACTCTATTGTTCTTCAGAGTCTGATACATCAGATTCGAGCAGGATATTCTTCAAAAGGGACGTGTGTTGCTTCGATTGGCGAGAGTTGCGATGAATTTTTCTAAAAGTTAAAAAGACCTCTCACGAATAAAACCTTGAGATAAAAAGCAAACAGTGTTGGACGTGTAACATTAAAAGCTAGCGTGCTTCAGTTGTTCTACTCGCGCGAGCAGAAAGATGAGAGGTCGGGCTGTGTATAACTAAAACCGAGCTCGTTTTCAATTCAGCTCGGATTAGTTGAAAACAATCCGCGTAAAACATTCAAATTGGATTAAGCGCTCTCGTGCAACTTCTCTTTGGCACTGTCTGATCAATAATGGACCGTGCTACTGCGAGCGACGTCTGGATCCGTGTCTTCATCTCCCATAATGATTTTCATTTCATTTCCTCGAAAATTATAGTCCTTTCGCAGAGGTAGATTCTTCAGAACCCCCAGTTCTCTCCTGCCCGAAGCAAAATCTTATCAGGAAAACGAGCACGAGAATTTCGAGTTAAACGAACAGTCACTCGTAATCGCTATCGCTTTCGACTAAATGACATCAGCTTCATAAAGCTCGCTGTCTCGCTTCCTATCTCGATTTCGAATTGTACACGAGTCCAATGATACAGATTATGCGAAGGAGACACCGTCCATTGGTTTGTGTACGAACTTGTAACTGCAATCTTGCATGCGTAACGGCGAGTACACCAGCGAGTTCTTGCAGTTGTCATATGATTGGCAACTTCACCCATCTCATTTACGAACTGCATTGAATGTTTTGTGGGTGAAATATGTGATCGTTACGTAGCCGAAAGAAGTGGCGCGAGGACGCGAATAACGAGTATAATCCAGTCGTGTTCGAGAGAATTATTGCGATTCAAATTCGTTGATACCTCTCATCGCGTTAATTTGATCCTTTTCAAAAAGAAAAAAAGGAAAAAAAAAAGAAAAGAAAAATTATACGACAGCTCGTGACAGATTACGAGAGCGAGAGCTTTATTTTCTGTATGAATTTGCAGATGAAAATATACCAACGATATAAACAGTTTATTAAACGAAGAAATTCATTTGACAAATTCGAAGTCAAGGATGGCAAATAAAATGTCCACTCGGCTTAATTAAATGTTCCGCGTGTCGCGGTTCATTGAGCAATATCAGAGAAGGTAGGTAGTTCAAGGTTTGACACGAGCAAAGAGTATTAATAATTAGAAGTTGATTGAGGAACGACGTCGAACATGAAGGATTAATTCAAGGTTAGCACCGTCGGAGGGACAACAACGTTATAATTAATTTCTCAATCAGAAATTGTCGCAAGCAGACAACGGAAGAAGGATTTTGTATCTCTGTGAAAGTTGGAAAACATCGTGGTAAAACTTGTTGTCCATGGTCTTCGTGACAAACAGAATCTCGATTGTTGCCGTTAATGCTGCTCGGAGATTTCAATTTAAGTCTTATTGCTCTCGCGATTTCGTTTTCAATTCAACGTGAGTTTGATTCTTGCGCAATTAAATTCATATTGCACGAAACATCGTCCTTCGTCGCACTCGAGAGCGAGAAGGAGATTACCAGCTACTTTGAACCTTTAACTTTCTTACGAGAGAAAACCTTTTACGAATGAAAATTCCCCTTAGCCGAAATTTTTTCCCTTTCGCGAAAACTTCGTGCTGGATATCCAGGAGTTTGTTCTACGATCATCCTGGTATTTCCTTTGTACATCGTCGCGATATGATCCCGGAGAATTATCCACTTTCCTTACCGTCGGATTTTCATATTCTGTTTGTACACACAACGCGCAGCATCAGTCGCGCTCGCGGAACCTTTGTGGCCCGTAACAAAGAGCGATTTAATATTAGTCGCGTGCATTAATTCCTGTTTCAAGGCCAGGAACCGATAATAAAACATGCGGGCTCTATTGTTATTCAACTTTTGGAACAATGGTGCACAAACAACGCTTCTGACGCACCTGCACTTAACTTCGCGGATTTGCATCATGGAATTAATTAAACACACGATGCTGGAACACGCTTCGATACTCGACTCTTGCAAACCGCACGTTATCGTTTATAAATTTTCGACAGACTTTTTATTTATTTCGCAAGTTTCACCGTGTTCTATTCGTATTTTATTCGATATTTTATTGCAAAAGGAAAGAAAAAGAAAACAGAAAGAACGGGAGGAAGAAGTTACGGAGTACATGCTGATTTATTCTGACACTAGAGGCAATTCACCGATACGGTGGATCATCGAGGAAGACGCGCATATTTCAAGATTTTTCGATTTATAAGTGGGTCACTGGCGTCGCCATAGCGTTCAATTTTTCTCAAGCGGAAGAAATATTGCATTCTGCATCTTTTTAAAACGAGGTCGAAACGCCGCCGGCTTGAAACTCGAGGAAGGTTCCTCGGATTTTGTGAACTCATTGTTATTACATGTATATATATATGTATGTATAATGAAACAACGCGCGGAATTGGCCAACAAAATTGTTCCAGTTATTCTTCCGGTGTCAGTCTGAAATTAGTTTCGCGCTGAAAAAAGTTTAATTATATTTGCGGAGGAGAAAAAGGGATTAAAAAAGCTGCAGCATCGACAAGAATTATCAATAATCCCCGGGCAACTGTCTGATAAACTGTCGGGAATTGATTGACGGAAAAAGATTTATGTAATCCGGATTGAAGGCAATTTGTTGTGAGATCAAACTTAACCATCGACGTGAGATTTGCATCGTCATCAACGATGTGTACCTGATGAAAGCAGAAAGCGCCATCGTATTATATATTATAGTATATATTCGACGGTGCAACAGTATTGCTCCTTCTTGTGTAAATAAAAATAAAGAAAATCGACTGGTCTATCTGTTTTCAAGGTTGAAGGAATAAATTTATTCTAAATCAAGGAAGTATTGTAGAAAACACGGTTCAGTTTGTAAGAGTTTCAAACAAAACAAAAAAAAAAAAAGCCATCAGCAAGTAGAATAGCGAATATGCAAATAGAAGGCCAATCAAAACTCGCAGTCGCGAAACTGCTCTATTAACCAGCTTCAAGGTACTCGAGAGATTGTAAATAATTCCATGAAAGTTTGAAACTCGCGAAGGAGGTGAATAATTCTCGAATAACCCGCTATGCGTGAAAATTCACGAAGGTTAATTAAAAGTTGTGTTTATTTCAATGTATTCGAAACAATTTCACAAAGAACGAAAAATTATAACGCAAAGTGCTCCTCGATACTTTTGTGCGAAAACGTTCAACGAGATAAGGATCTGATAGTCAAACAGGCAGAAGAGTGGAGAAAATCCACACTCTTAGAGAGAGTCGAATCGAAAAAGTAAACGTTTCGAGTGGTCAGAATCTTCGTAACCCGTATAAAATCGATATCCTTATCCCTCCATCAATTTTTCTTCGTTCCACACTATTTTACTTTTTTTACTCAAACTGGACTCGGGATTTTCTCCATCTATTTGTACAACGTGCTTACGATTTATGAGTTACTTATACTTAAAATAATAGGGCGATAAGTTACAGCGATATTTAAGATAATATTTCGTGTACGAATTTTTCAGACGTTATAGTTTATGGCTAATTACACGGATATTATAGAATTGATTTAGTCAGATAAATTTGTTTGTCTGTTTTTCGACCTCGTTATTGGTTTTGTCAAATGGCATTAATTCCCTAAAGGAGTTCTCGTTTTAAACCAGTGCGTTTCTGTTTATGAGGAAACGTTCTTTCTTGTTTTCTCATTTAGCTGTTTACATACGTATAGTAATTTTTTGCTGGCTCTATAAAGCTATAAATTGCAAATCGATAACTCTCGTGAGAGATTATAAACATCCGAGTGCATCATGATGTAATAACAGACTTCTAATGTATTTAGCTCGGAAGAAGACCTTAAGAATAACACTTCAATATACCTATGTCTTTGATGAAAATAGATGGAAAGTATCGACGGACAAAATGATGGAATGTTATATTAAAGTAAAGAGACGATCAATCTTTATGAAAAGTACATCAAGAGTGTAAAATCATATGGATAGTGAAAGTTGTGTAACTTTGTGAAGATTTTTTTTTTAAACATTCAAGAATAAAAATATTATATAGCGACGTCTTACTATTTTTATCTTTGTAAATATTGAGTAACATTATTTCTATATCACAATAAAAATATACTGAAGCTTTATTTATAATGTAAACGCTTTGTTAAAAACTATGTTGTTTTTATTGGTACATGAAAATATTTTAATATTTTATCCTGCATTGTAACACATTTTAATTATTCAACACGGTCAAAATGAACACAATGGAAATATTGGTTTCAATAATTTTTTATTTATAGTTCTTGATATAAAACAATTCGTTCGTTGTTAACACAATTTTAATATATCTTTTCTGTCATCATATAGACTAATGTAATTAAAAGAAAAATGACTTGTTACATTCCTTTTTTTTTCCATTGAATAATTTCAATGTATAATAATAATTAAAACTATTTGTTTATTATACAAAGTATCAACAGTCAACTAATCCGGAGGCGAAAACTTTGTTTATACATTGAACTAGTTTAAATGTGAAATCGCGATAATTTTACGTAAAGTCACGGTTACCCTCGTGAAGTAATACTTCTCTTTTAAATACAATTTGAAAAACATAAATACACATTTCTGACGTTTAGTCGTTAAAACTGAAACTAAAGAGTATTGTAATAATCCGCGAACGTAAAACATAAGACAGTTCAACTGACGTACAACTGTCTGAAGTTACTCCCTCTGAAGTTCGCTTACGTCATCTCGAGATTCGATAATCGGAGTGATTTCGAACGGTTGCCAGTTACTAAGTTTCGTCTTTACGTAGCGGTCGGTTTTCCAACTCGGTACGGTCCTTTCAAACGTGTGTTAACAAATATATCGCGGAAATTACATATATTTCATGTACAAATCTCACTCTTACAAAAAGTATGTAATCCGCGGTTAATGCGGATTTTCCGCGCGTTCGTGATTTCTAATTCAGTGTCAAACCTATTCGCTTTCGCTTCCACCTCCTCTATCTGTGCTCGAATGGCGGGAACCAACATCACTGCCAGATACAGATTTCCTAGACTCCGGTGTAGCAGATCTAGAACAAAATAATCGCAATGTATGGTTGAATGATGTCATGACAGCTGTACTTCCCGAGTGGGTGAGTAGAATTTAACATTTCTCGTTTACCTTGCCGATCCGCTCGGGCTGCGACTTCGAGATCCACTCTTTGACCTCGAACCAGAACGCGATCTGGACCTTGACGCTGATTTAGATTTCGATCGGCTTTTGCTTCTCGATTTACGTCCCTCTGATTGCGAACCACTTCTTGATCCGGATCTCGACCTTGATCGCGAAACTGCTTTTCTCGAACCACTAGGTGATCTCGATTTCGACCGTGCACTAGCTGCAGAACCCGATCTTGATCGTGCACTAGTTGCGGATGCGGATCTTGATCGTGCACTAGCTGCAGATGCGGATCTTGATCGTGCGCTAGCTGCGGATCCTGATCTTGATCGTGCACTTGCTGCAGAACCAGATCTTGATCTTGGCTGTGATCCTTCGCTTTTCCTCGAGCCGCTGCGCGATCTCGATCGCGATTGACTCTTTCTTGAGCCTGATCTTGACCTCGAACGCGAGCCGCTCTTTGCTGAGCCGGATCTTGATCTCGTCGGACTTTTCGATCGCGACTGACTCCTCGATTTTGAACCTGAACGAGACCTGGATCGTGAACGAGACACGGACCGAGATTGAGATCGAGACTGTGATCGTGAACGCGACCTCGAAGTACTTCTAGAGCGACTTCTGGACTTCGATCTGGAACGAGACCTAGAACGTGATGCACGCGAACCTTCCGAGTCAGACATGATTCGCCTGCTTCCGCGAGCACGGCCTTCGTTACCGCTCTCACCTCTGAAAATAAATTAGCGACGCTATTAATTTATTTATTACGTACATTGTATATACTATGTCCTGATAAAATCAATAATTCGTACCCGCTGGCAATTTTAAGACCTCCAGAATCACTGTCAGATTCACTCGTCGATATAGTCTCTTTTGACAAGGGCATCTTGCCTTTTGTAGTTTCAGATGTACTTTTTCGAAACGTTCTGTCCTTCTTGACACCGCCTTTTCTTCCACGTTTCGGCTTGGGTCGATCACTTTCTGAACCTGAACATTGCGAAAGAAAGTTTGTAATTTTTGAAACAGTTTAATTATATGTACGATCAAGGATTATGAGATACTATCTTACCACTTTCTCCACTCGCCATTTCTTTCTTACGCCTTCCTTTACCCTTGCCTTTTCTTTCTTTACGTTCACCACTTGCTTTCCTTTTCCGTTTCTTCTCTCTAGGAGCTTCGTCCCGACCTTCATCTCTTCCAGAACCACCACTGTCACTAACGTATTGATCAGTGCGTGCTCTCTTGCCTTTCCTTCCTGGCTTCTCTGAAGGCATTTCGCCGAATACCAAGGCATTCTTTGTCTTTTCAACGTACTCTTGTCGTTTTTGTAACATTTCCTCTTCCTTTTGTCGTCGCATTTCTTCAAGTTTCCTTTGTTCTTCTGTTTGTCGCATTTTAAACGCTTGCCTACAATTAACACAAAATCAATATTACCGTATTTGATGAATTCTATATACAATTACGTTCACACGATTACCTCTCTTCCTCTTGTTTCCTTCTAAGCATTTTCTCTTCCTCGTCCAATCGTCTAGCTCTAGCAACATGATATTGTGCTTGTGATAACAGATCTTGACATCGTTTTGCTTCTGCTTGCGCAAGTTGTCCCATTCTCTTTTTATGCGTCGATAGATACTGAAAGTATTTATGCGAGAGTCCTAATTCATGAACTGCCTGGAGCACTGTTGTCAAGGTGGATTTTTCGTCTTTTAAAATTTGTGTGGCTAAACGTTGAAGGATAAGTGCGAAATTATACAGTAAAACAGTATCCTGCGGAGCTACTCTTCTTGCCTAGATTATAAAATCATAAAATTGATTAGTTATTTTTTCTCTTTTAATAAGTTCCAACGACATCGGGATGAACAATGTTTCTGACTCACTTTTAATAACGTCAATTTTGCTTCCTTTAATTTACCAGCTTTAAAGTAAGCTCTTCCAAGATACTGCAAGACTTCGACGTGATGATATTTATAAAACTTTCGAAGGCAGTTTTCATACTGTAAAAATACATTTATGAAGCCAAGACACTACTTTCAATTAATATCAAATACAAAACGAAAAATTACCATTTGGATAGCGCTAACAAATTGTTTCTGCTCCACATAAATGTGCGCAATATTTAGCCAAACATCACAAAATTCTGCCGTTGCTTCTCGAACTTGAGCAAAAATATCTCTAGCTTCATTTACACAACCTTTATGCGCTAGTACAGCTCCTATTCCATTCGCTGCCCAAATATTTTTAGGATCGTTTCGTAAAACCTAAGAGAATTTCAATATGTATATACAAGTGCAAACTTTTTATCTTATACAAGTGCAAACATTTTCTATTGCCATACCTGTTTATACATAGCTAAAGCTCTATCTTGATGTCGCTTCTCTCGATCTTTATCCTTTCCACCTTGATGCAAAGTTTGTAACCAAATGTTGCCCAAAGCAATCAGAGAATAGGCATCGGTACTTGTTGCGGGATTATCTAAAATTCTCTCGAATTTTTTTTGGCCAGGACCCCATTGCATTGTGGCCAAATGTAAATTACCCAAAAGAGACCATGCATCTGGGTGCTCCTTATTTATACTTAAACCATCTTTAAATCTATCAGACGCTTCGAGAATTTGTCCTTTATCTCGAGCTATACAGCCAAGTCGTAAATAACAATCTACATATTTTGGATGCTTGTCTAAAATGGCTCTATACAATTTTGCTGCTTTATCAAATATGCACAAAGCTTCGTTCAAGCGAGCTAAATTGTATGTCGTCGTAACCGCAATTGAATTATAGTATACAGAATCATGTAAGGCATCTGCTTCAGAACGCGCCAGAGATTCCTCAAAATTCCTTCTAGCTTCTTCCAAATTTCCAAGTCTATGATCAGATAAGCGTTTAGTCTCAATAACAAAGTAATTAATAGATTTGAAAAAAGAAAATTCTGAGATACCTATAATGTAAAGCTCCAACATTATTTAGAATTTCAGGAGGTATATCCGCTTGGACTTTTTCTTTTAAAATCCTAGTTGCAGTACCATATGCATTTAAGGCTGCGTTAAGGTCACTTTGTTCCAATATCTGAGCCAGTTCAATCCATGCTTCGACATCATCGGGAAATTGTTCCGTCACTTTCCGAAGATGGTTTTTAGCAATATCACGTTTCGATTGAGAACTCGAGTTCGCATACAATGATCCAAGAATTTTCATTGTTTCGTAATTGCCTGGTTGAGCTTTTAACACTTTTTCGAAACACTGTGCTGCCTAAATATATAAAAAAACCGTGTGTGAAAATTTTATCATTTTTATCATATTATAATATAACGCATTACGCTTACATTTTCTGCATCACCGCGATAAACGTACATTTGCCCTAAGCCAAAGTGAGGTAATACAAAAACTGGTGGAGCAAATTGTGTTGCCTGATAATAATATTGAAATGCTTGATCATAGTCACCCTGAAACATTTTAATTATATGTCAAAACATAGAGAGTGCATCTTATACCGAAAAAAAGACTTACTTGGACATGAAATGCTCTGGCTAATTGATAGCAACTTTCAGCACGCATAGCTTCATTTTCAGTATTGTGAAATGCATGCAGCGCCAAATGTTGCACTTTGTTATAATCTTTCTTGAAGAAAAAATGATTTGCCAAATGATTCAATACCATAGGATTTGTCGAATCAATCGTATAAGCTTTAGATAACATTTGAACACCAGTTCTGATACTATCAGGCTGTTGTTGATTTAGTTTCAAAACCGAAAGTCCAACTAGTGCTCCAACACATTGCCCATCTAACTGCAAAGCTCTTTCAAATGCCAAACGTGCTTTTTCCTGATTGTTTAATTTCATAAAACAATGTCCCATTCCCAATCTCACAGCAGCTGGACAATTTGGATTTGTCCTCAAAGCTTTTTTATAAAAGGCAAGAGCACCTCTATAATCTTTTTTGTTAAATGCTATACATGCTTTACCCAATAAGGAAGGAATATTATTTGGAGACTGATTTAGTACAAAATTAAATTGGGCATCTGCTTGATCCATCTTATCACCTTCCAACAGGCAGAAATAAGCTCGTCCAAGTAAATGATTCTGCAGCATAAAAAAATATTATTCAAATAACATGTAAATATCTCCAAGTATCAAATGAAATATTATAAATATTACCTGGTCATACATGATAATTTTGTCTGCAGTTGTATACAATAGGGTAGCTTTTGTAAAGAGATCTCTCTTTTTGTCCTTATTCTTTTCTCTGTTGGCTTCCTGCACATAATATGCAGCCAACATGTCCAAAGCGCGCATTTGATCTTTTTCATAGTCACGGTAGTCAATATTAGCATCAATCCGAGAAGATTCAAGTATTTTAATGAAATCTTCGATTTTGTGTTGTTTGTAATATTCAAGCTATAATAAAAAACAGTATGTCACTTTTTTGTTACTCTTCCACTACAACTATTGTATCTTGAGATACATACGGCCAAATTGACCCAAATATTAAGTTGCGCATGTTCTTGACGTAAAATTCCAAGAACCTCATCTCCTTCTGGTAATTGATCGAGGTATAGCTCAATTACCTAACAGCATACAGTTTAAAGAATTAAAAAGATTAATCAGTGATATGGTGAAGCATTTAAGTAGACAAAATGTAGATAAAAAATTCGATTTATTGAAGAACTTCATTTAACAGATGGCTAATGTTAGACAATTTCACTGTACATGATACAAAATGTGTGATATAATGAAAATAACATGGATAAAATAAGGTCAGTAAATCAGTTGAGTTATTTTGTCAAAACGAACGAAAAACAATGGCAATTGATATTTTATACTGTGGAATAAATTTCAAAATAATCATGGAACGTTGTTTGTGCATCTATAGGCTAGTGTGCGTGATGTATTTCATAAACATTTCTTGTAGAGGTTAGGTTCACGAAAATGTCTTTATATCACGAGTCTTTAGACAATTTCAAATTACGCGTCAAGGATGAGGGCAGGAATCGTTTAGCTTACTTCCGATGCTTATAAGTAATAAGATTGACTATTATAAACAAAAATATTCACCTCGTCCGTATCACGAAGTGGAATCTCTATGGAACCCGCCATTGCGGCATCGTCACTGATTTTTTCAAGACTTAATCAACAGATGTCGTGCCAACGGAATGGTAAACACGTCGCCATACGCGGTTTTTCTGAAATGCGCGAGACATTAAAATCGGGGGAAAGAAGGGAGAAAAAAGAAGAAAAGAATTTTGCATTTTATTTATTGTTTATTTATTGATTTACTTCAAAAAAATATACACAACATGTGAAATAACGTTCCGACACATGGATGGACGATAGAATGTAAATGCAATTCGCAAACGAAGATGAATAAGAATCATAAAAATGATCGTCATCGGCTCTCACTTATTATCTTACAACGGGTAAATTAGATAACGTCTTTTAGACCTAATAACAATCGATTGTATTACACCGCAACGTTATCATTTACAAAGTATGTTGAGCAACAAGAATGTATAGTATTTTTCATTTTGATAAACAGTCAAATCAACAATGAAGATCGCATTTATACGCGATTGATCGATATTTTAGACGGTTAAATTCTTAGAAAAATCACTGCGCTAATCAGAACACTGTGCAACGCGTTATTATAAACTTATTATTATTAATCGACCAAGAGATCTATTTATATCCTTACGTTGTATAACATCATAGAAACCGAAAGAACGTTCTTTTGCGATCGTTAATTTCGAACTTGGTGTAAAACTTCAACAAGAGCGCGTACGCGGCAAATTTAAGAGTTTCCCGACTGGCTCTATGTTTCTTCTGAGTCTTCCCGCGGTCCCTCTCAGTCGTAGTAACTTCCATAAAAAGAGGTGAAGGCCGTGTCAGAGCTAACGCTTGGCGGTAAACTTGTCGCGTCTACTGTTTCTTTTTCGCTGCCAAGGGTCGACGTCCTCATGTCGAGGGTACCACTCACGCCAGACATCCCTGAACTTGTTGCCATTTCCACCTCTCCGACGTCAGGATGAGACATATGTCTTAAAATGACATCACTTTAATCCACGGTCAATCGTTAATTTCTTATTATGGGGTGGTTGTGAAAATAAAAATAGGGTGGAGAAGTTATTCTTGCGTGAAAGAAAATTATAACCAGGTGGTAACATTTTCTGAGTAGAAAGAAAAGTATTTAAAAGTGATACATTCAATTGAACGATAAATGAAACGAATGGCCCGTTGACGAGATTGTTCAAAGAAAAACTTTTCCTCGAATCTACTTTGACGTTTGAGTTTGTATTCCACTTTTTCAATCGAGCAAACATAGATAGATCTACTGGCTTTAAAAATTAAAAATATTCGCTTCGTAGAACATTTCTTCGTGTAATGTTACCTGTAATCTGGAGCGGAGGGTTCAGCGTGCTGTCTTCGTGAGTTCGACGACATTGGCGTTCTCTTTATCGCGTAGATGTATATGCCTGTCATTGTGAGCGTGTAGGAGACGAAATACAATGCGTGAAACTGGAACAGGTGGTAGGAACTTTATTAGTATATGTATTCGTCTGTATTATGTCGCAATAGACGATTCTATTCGTGTAACACCGACACGTGAGGAATTAGAGCAGTGTTTCTGTTTACATCTTAATTTATAACGATCATTTCAAAAGGAGATACCCTGTATTGATGAAGCAGCATGCCAAATAAAACGTTGAAAGAATCTGCAGTCAGCAGTGCTAATTGCAGTGCAGTTGCACCGGATTCGAACAATATAACAGGCACCAGCGAGAAAAATACGAATTGCGTGATGCAGTAAAACACCAAGAACGTGATTACTGGTGCGTTGTACCATTGAAATGATTCCAACTTTAAGCTCTCTAACACGGCCCTGGAATAATAAATAATATAAATCGTAATAATCAATTATACCGAATCTTCTTTTTTTTTTTTTTTGACGGAGGACTTACGTTTGCATGCAGCATAATATAGTGCCGAAGAAACCGATCATGCCGAGATACTCGATAATATCGACTGTCTTTACTGTTAACTCTTGTAGTACCGTTGTTATGGAGAACAATACCGCGCCACCGAGGCACAACATATCACCAACAAGGTGATTCTTCCCTTTGTACAGAAAAATTAAAATTGAAAAATTTAGCAACCGGAAGTTCGATGGTTTTTTTCGTCAATTAAAAACTCGTGGCATTTCGGGTCATCGGAATGCGTTCGTCGAACAATCACCTGTAGTCGCAGGATCTTTATTGTCATCAATTCCTGCCCAAACCAAGCATCCCACCCCCATCAAAGAAACAGAAACGCCGACTATGTGCACCATTCTGTATCTCACTCCGAGAACCAAACACGACAGCGCCAATGCAACTGGTATAGCCACGCAATCGAGCAGCTGAAACAGAATTACTTCCGTTTAAATATCCTCGTTGCTCTAGACCGTTAAAATTTCAATGCAGAACGGAGTTCGATCAAGAATAGGTGACAAGGGGGTGAGTATGCCGGGTCTTCGACCCGGCATTCTCCTTTCGTTGGTGGTGGTGTGTATCCGATACAATGCTCGTGCTCCGTGCCATTCATCGCTACCACAAATACTGGACCGTTTAATTAAACGGCTATGAAAGTTGCATCCTCAACTGTACACAGATTGTGCAACGCTTGCCTCTTATTCCAAGGAAGCGGAACTTCGTACCAGCATCGAAGAATAAACCGTTTTCACATTCAACGAAGTCGTTCCGTTTTCTTTGAATTCTGTATAAACGCGAGCTTCGTAAAATTTCTATGAAAAAGAAACAGAAAAAGAAAAAAGGAAAAAGAAAAATGGGGAGAATTAATTTAAAGAAACGCGTTACGAAAGGAAAATTTTATACTTGCTGGCAAAATAAAATTTTATTCGTCGAAACAACATTTGAAAAAATGAAACGAAACAGTTTCCAACGCGTAAAAGAATATCACCGTCCGTGTATAGTACAAATTCTCCCGTTTCGCGTAATTCTTGCGAGTTAAGCTTTGCTGCGGGTTTCCTTTCATTTCGGCTGTACTAGAACGAAGATAATTAATGTCTCATTTAGCGTATGCCGTACGAAAGCAAAGAACTCTGTCGTCGCCGTTGTTTGGCAAAGCGTAACGTTGAAATGCCACGTGACATCATTAGCGCGTACCTGTATTCCAGCCAGGCTGGTGAATTGATGCGAGGATGTTACAAGTGTACACGCTTCAACGTCAATGAGGGCCAACAGCAAGTACCTCCATCCACGGGCTTTTATGACAGAAATTAGCCCGTTCCCTACTCCTCTGCAGGACATCCAGGTTGTGTATACAAGACACATCATAACGTAATGCGGAAGGTTTTGTGCTATTCCGTGGAAGAGATTCTCCATGACAAACATTGTTCGATCGCAATTCCCGCGTGTCGAATTATTTATGCAAGCGATTGTTCGTTAATGACTTACCGGACGGGAGCGCGAGTTGATACGCGGTGTTGATGTGATGATTCGCGTGCGTCATGAGGCATAACACCAGGGACAGCACTTGTCCCAGTATTATCGCTCTCCATACTGACCTGTTAACAATGGAAAATGCAATTAAAAACATCAAATGTTTCGTGCGTGATGAAACGAAACTTACAAACGTGAAAAATGGACAACGAGAAAATTTCTGAATTAAACGTGATATTAATTGAACCGATCGACCGATATTTGCAAAGTATCTTTTCCTTTTTAAATAGAACAAATAATTATATTTTTCTCCGCTCAACACACCAAAACTATCTTCGATTCAAGCTTCGACCTATTATATTTCGTCGAAGTAACAGGTCCGAAGCACGAGACAACGCGAGATCAATGAACCGAGAACCGTTGTTTTTCCACCCACGAACTGAACGCTAGAAAATTCCTCGTAAACACCCGCCACTTTTATCCTCGATACCGTTCCCCTTCCCTTGGCCGGCTCGAGGGAGACGAAAAGCCGGTCCGAGGATGATCCGACCCTCGGCTTCTCATCAGAGGGTTCCACTTGCCGATCAATCAGCCTCCGTTTACGTACCATTGTCCCAGATCGGATATGTAATTTTCGATCTTGTCGCAGATCCCGTTCCTGGGCTGCATCACCGTATTTTCGCCGCAGCGACGTTCGCCCGCTGACACTCCCATGCCAGGGTGCATTTTCGCCCCGAGGCTGTTAGCCGCCGGCGCTAGAGGTGGGGCGCTTGCGCGACCTCTTTCCCTCCATCGGCTCTGCACAAGGAGGCAACCGGTATTTTTCGTTTTGCCGACACGACGAGGAACGTACACAACCGAGGAACACGCTGTGTTCCGCGGATTCGTTTTTTCTGTTATTCTACCACGCTGCATCGATCGATCGGGGTGCAGTCTCTCCAGTTTCTCTCCCCATCGAGGACACGAGCTTCGCCTAGATCCATCGATCGTTTTATCAGCGATGACTTCTTTCGGATTTTCATCAGCTGGCATTAGATTTGAGTTTTCGGAACAAGTTTCGAAAGATCGATCGAATTGACGTTGAAACTTTCGAGGTGTATGGAGAAAAGGGGACAGGAGTGTAAGGTCAAGTAAATGCATTCTATTGGAAAAATGATCGATGAAGTTCTCCTTTGTATTTTCTAAGGAATAATCGCGTTACTGTTGTCTGGCAGCAAGCATGTTACCGTTGAACGATGACGATATACTTGGAAAGAATCGGTCGATTGTTACTTGCTAAAGCGTACTATTTAAGAATCAATCGAATATTAGACGATTATTAGGATATTAGGATCGGAAATAGAGCGAAGAGCATCGAGGTAGTATGTCTTTCTTTATTTTCAGGTAATCTTACCGTAAATTCTTATTTACAACATATTGACATGTTTGATTACATCGTGATTTCAGTCGTCAATAATTATGAAAAAGTTCCCACACGAATCGTGGAAGAAACATTTTACAATTTGATATATAAACTTTGAAACACCTTCAACTTACGTAATATTCTTGTAATATCTCAAACATTGCGTCAATGAGTTAAATTATTATGCACAAGGTGTGGTCACTCATGGCGTATGAAAAGAAGGCAATCGATATATATATATAACGATAAATCGTCACGACGAATGTAGATTTGTGCAGTCGGTTCTCTTGTCGATGATCAACAACACTTTGTAAATTATCTATCTAAGGAGAGGAAACTGTTGATTACACGATATCCAGCCGTCCTTACAAAGTTGGAAAAATAAGTTGAAAAAATATTTCGCCAGTCTCCTCCAACTTGCCTCGCTCGTTCGTTCGTTGCGCGCGCGATCGAAAATGCAAGTCGTACGTTGTCGAGTGTTGTTCGCGGCGCGCTACCATTCCTTCGCGTACAGAAATTACAGACTACGATCATTGAAGATGATTTCAGGGAAAGGAAATCCCCCTTGGTAGATCGATCGATTGGTCGTTCGATGATACGTAAAACGAGATAAATTTGAAAAATTTGTATTTATTTCTTCTTCGCCTCTTCCTCCACCGCCTCGTTCTGCTTGCGGAAGCAATCACCGACCGGGAAAAAGTCCCAACACCTTTGCTGATACATGTTCCACACGTACGTTTCTTGGCCGGTGTACTCGGTGTCTGGTTTGTTGATTAAGTGCATCAAGAAGAACCTGGGAAATTTTGAACCATGACGATTCACGTTGCTTGAAAAGGCTGTAAATTCGTGCGAATGTAACTCACATATAATTGGCAAGATTATGCTCCTGCTGAACATGCGTGTCGAAACCATGCGGTACTGTGTCGAAATATTCTTTCCCCAAGCCACAAATGAAACAGTTGCTCTCCATGTTTGTCTTGACGTTTTCGAGCTGGTCTCGAAGCTCGCCGAATGCATCGATAATCAAACCTGTCGGCGACAAAGGAACAGAGTCAAACGTCGTGAACAATTCGATAACGACATTGATATTTTCTTCAACTTGCCTTGAATAATAGCCAACAGAATGATAATAACGAAGAAGAAGAAAGTGATGTCGAACATGATACGATAGACCTCGTAGTCATCGCCATCAGGTTCGCCGATTTCATCGCCGATACCACCACCGGCTCTTACACCTTTGTACAAGTGGAATACGAAGCACTGAAACGAAAATACAAATAAAATTCAATAAAATTCGTGCCTTTTCTTTTTTTCTCATTGCGTCCGGGATTGTTTCATTACTCATTGTACGAACGTACATTGGCATGATCACGAGTCAGTACAATTCGAATGAAATTTGTGTACAGCTGCGTACTTGAACATTTTCTACGTCATACCGTTAACATGTCGTGACATTTCTTGTCCACTTCATCGTCCTCTTCCTGAATGTAGAATTTTCTAAAGAAGTTGAAGGCTATGACCGTGTATATGTAGACGACGATAGTCAACAACATCACCGTTAACACCAGTTGTTTGCCGTTATGCGTGACGGACTGTAAGATCGTTCTTAGAGTCTTGAAACCAATCGCGACGTCGAGTAAATGAGCAGCGAAGAAGAAGTTGTTGTAATTGCCAAGGATTGAAAATGTGAAGTACCACAGACTGTACAAAAATGCCTGTGAACAAATATTACAAATTTCACACATTCTAGAACTATTAAAGGATTAGATTTTATCGGCGGATATTAGATTTGATCGTTTGCTTACGTTATCCGTGATGGTAACTCCCGCTTTCCATATCTGGTACCTCCAATCGATATTTACAATACTAGAAAAAAAGAAGAAACAAGAACGATGGTAATCGAAGACTACTGCAGAAACTGCAGAAAAATCTGCGTAATTTTACTCACAAGTGTATCAAACCGGAACCCTCTTCCTCCTGTTGGCTAAACGAAGTCTTCTCCATGCCAAGTAAGTTGCTTATATAATCAAAGTCGTAAGTCTCGCTGTATTTCTGTCGAACTTTCTTCTTCACGAACTTGTCCCAATAATTCACGGGGAACGTTTTCGCCGATATCACCATCTTGTCCCAGTGCACCTTGATGTCGTCTTCTTCCGGCGTTTCAGCGATGTACAGACCATCGAACTCCACGCGTCGCGCAATTTCCTTTTCCCGTTTGAAAATGGCCAGCGGTACCTGTGCGCAATGTGAGCAAGTTTGCATGTTAACACGAATGCACGCGCACACTCGAGATATAGAGAATTCTGATATAGAAATGGTTGTACTTTCAAGTGATAGTAGGCAACCAGCATAGCAAGAGAGACGATCGCATGAAGAATAGCCATGAGTCTTATAACGTGTGCCATGTAATAAAAGTCTTCTGCCACCTCCACGTATTCCAACGGCTCGTCTTCCTCTTCTTCCGACTCGTTCTCCCCACTGCCGCTTCCTATTTCTATACCACTGCCATTTCCGGAACCAGACGCACCCTCGCCAGACATCTCTGCCAACATGTCGGCCATTCGTCCGCTTCCTTCCTCGTCCTCGTCGCCACCCAAAGACGTAACCTGCAAATCGGTGCAAATTTTCACGTCGTATTTATTTATACGAACCAGCGCGAAAGTTTCGAGTTCAGAGAGTTGCGTTCACCTTGTAGAACAGCAGCATGAAGTTGATACAGAAAGCAAGAACGAGAGCCACGTATTTTAGATTGTAGAAGTTCCTGGCCAGGAAGGAGACCACGCGATGAGTATAATCGGAGAAATCGATAGATGACCCGGATGGTTCTGCTATCGTTTCCTGTTTCGCTTCCGCTTCAACAGCAGCCATGGCTGCTTGCTGAGCGGCCGCTGCCTCAGCCGCAGCTGCTGCTTGAGCTCTAGCCTGTTCGCCTCTGTTTGCAAATGTCTAAATATTTGTATTCGTATTTCGCGTCGCGAGTACTCTAGTAAACTAATTTTTAATCATTTTTCTGATTATTAGAATCGCAACTAATCTTGAAAGTTTTTAAACGACGTACAAATAGAAAATATTATACATAACACTTTGCAATTGGGAAACTTGGTCATACCCTAATAAGTCAGCCAATGAGACTGGCGATTCCATGTCTCCGCCGCCTTCACCTCTCGCGCCCTCCTCGCCAGTAGCTTCTTCCGGCGTGCTTTCACCCGTTTCCTCGATGCTCGATTGAGGAGTGGACGTTGCCGACTCGTGCGGCGCGATCTTTATTTGTCCGCCTTCCTCTTTCGTTATATCCATTCCGAACGCTTGTACCTACGAAAGAATCGAGTTTGTTTGTAATTTTCCTTTTTTCCCCCCTATCGTGCGCATCTTTGGATATTTCTTTTCGAACCTGTAGATTCGATTCGTCCGGCGTTGGCGGTAACGCAGGCAAATGTCTTGTCGGTTTCTCTTCCCCTTCCTTCACCTCGACCACAGGTTCTTCCACGTGTGGTCCTTTCATCAACGCCAACAATAACCTCATGAAGTATCCAATTACACATCCAACGCCGAAACCAGAATAGTAGAACGCGTAGAATATCATCTTGAAGAAACCGATGAAAAGCTCGAGGAACGTCATCTGCTGCATTTCTGCGATTTTGTTCTTGATGTTGCTAGGAGAGAATATGGAGAAGAAGAAGTAAATGCTGTCTTTGAACGTTTGAATGGCTCTCCTGATGGGGTCTTTGTTCCTCTCTTCGTCATCGTCGGTCATGTAAGTGTAAGACGATTCTCTCGCTTTTCCGATCCCACCGCTTTCCTCCACCGCCATCAGCGCGCTCGCGTGCTGCATTTCAAAGATCGCGTCTTCGCAGAAGTTGATGAAAGTTTCCAACTTCTCCTTCTCACCGGCTTCCACCACGGTGTTGTAAAAGTACGTTCTCTTCGACTCTTTGATCTGTGGTTTCTCCCACTGTTCGATGTTCGACTCCTTGATCTCGAAGTACACACGCTCGATCTTCTTGTTCCCACCGAGAATCTCGATCCTTCCGAGGTACGGTTCGAAGTAGTTCAACACGGAGCCTGCCGTTTCGAGGAACCTCGCCAGTCTCGGTTCGTTCGGCATGTGTTCCGACAGATTCGTCAATAGAACAGCAAGATTGAAACCGATCTCTTTGGCCGGTTCGTGGAAACGGTCCATGAAAGCCACATAATCGATTTTGCCGTCGTGATTCGTTTCGCAACATGCCAATAAAAATTCGATCTCTTCGCTGAAAAAAAAAAACAAAACAAATTTCATCGTGATCTCTTCTTCGGTATTAGTACGAACGTAGTACAAGCATACAGAGCAGTGGCTTACTTGGTGTAACTCTTCTGCTGTTCCATCTTTTCCTTGAAGTCCTTCGGATACACCCAGCCGTCGCTGTTCAGATCCACCTCTAAGAAGCTCGGCGACGACACGAGATCTTTGAGCTTCAGGAACATGTCGAAGTATTTCAGAATCAACTCGACGTTGCCCGCAGATTCTACCAGCGTGTCCACCATCTGTTTCCCAATCGTCCCGTTCACGACGTTACCTACGTGATGACAGAGAATTCAACGAGTTAGAGTTCTAGAAGAGAGACAGAGTTCTCGGCTCGAAGATGAAAGTACCTTCCAACATGGAGAGCATCATGGTAATCATGTCCTTTTGCAAGTTCAACAATTCCTTCAGAAGATCAACTTGGCTCGAGTGTTTGGACAATTTGTCTTGCATGTGGGAGAAAAGGAAGAGGAATCCACCGACTGCGTCCCACAATCGAGAGTGCGCAAGCGCCTGTTGATTCTGAGCGCAAGGCCCCTGAATCACTTCGGTGAGAGTGTTGAATACTTGACTGGCGACGCCGATGGCTTTGAAGAAATTAGCCTTGCCAGCGGGGTCGATGAGTTCCTTGCTGGAGTAATGCCAGTAGAAGTCCATGATGGACTCTTGCAGGCGCAGTAAATAATCGACGGTGCAGATGACCACGTTCACCGTCGTCGTGTTACCAGCCTGCGTTCTCAGATAATTCTGCCAGTCTGTCGACATCGGTTGACGTTGATTAATCGATAAACTTGGAGCAGAAATTTTCGAGAAGCCTCGTCCACAGACGAGGGGAATTCAGAGTGTCGGAGACTCACCGAGATTGTGCCCTTCGCACGTCAGTTGAATGAATCGGAACAGAGCGCACGTGAACTCGGCGTCGTGCATGTTCTTCTCACCGGCAGCCCCTTCGGAGCCAACTCCGAGGCCCTCCGCTTTCGTGTTCCTCTCGAACGCGTCCAGATCCAACACGCTGCAAGAATTCATAAGACCGGCGATCGAAGTGAAGAAGCCCACGTCCTTCTTCTCCTTCAAGTGGTTCAGCATTCCTCGTTGAATCTCTATATTGCCGCCGCGTAGGATGGAGATGCCCAGTTCCAACGTCTTCATCACCATCTCGCTGGGGAGACCTTTGCACGCCGAGATGTGAAGCAGCACCATCTCTGCTACACCGCGATTCGCGAGTCGCGCTTGGTGGAAGAGAAGTTTCTGCTTCTCCATTTCTTGCTCCTGGATCACGAACAAACGGGAACGAATTTCTTTTAGCTGTTCAATTTAGCGCGTTTGAAAGTTTCGAAAGTCATTCTTCCTTTTCTTTATACAACTGTCTACGTTTTCCTTTCTTCTTACCATGAGTTTGTGCATCGGTCGCTTCAGGGAGAGCGTTAAAGAAAGCGTTACAGAATATCGTTAGTGAAGTTGGAAATATCCCCGATGTTTGACGAGATCAGTGTGAATCATTGTCAAGGCTACATAATGGACATGTGTGGAGATTGATTTTGGACAGAGTGATCAGGCAACTCATTCTACCGTTGATGCAAGCGTATGTATTTACAAATTCGTACGTTGTGCGTATTTGAGCAGGAACGATCTTTTCATTCGGGACCAACTAGAGCCTACTAGATGAAATTTCGAGTAATCGAGTTGGCTTTGCGTTTCGCAAATGGTAACGTCGGGTTTCGATGAACGAGCGTATAAAAGCAGTTGAATTTCCGCAAACGATTAGGTTACTTGTTCTTACCATAAGTGGCTTATAGCCTCGCTTCTATACGGTCAGTACGCGAGAAAAAGACACGAAAGTTGTTTGGTAGTTGAGAAAGTTTTGTTAGTAGAGAGTTTTTTTTTCTGTTCTTTTTTTTTTTCTTTCTTAAATTCGTCTACGAATATTGGGAAAAGATGCTTACGTGGATCGAGGCACCGCCTTCTTCTTCGCCTCCTCCACCCTCGTCTTCGCCTTCCTCCTCCTCCTCGCCACAAGATTTCGATATAATTTGCGCGTAGCTCATGTACAAGGGATCCTCTTGGAGTGCGCCAGATCGTTCTGTCATAGCGCCGCGACAAAATGTCGTTACCAATTGTGTGAGCGGGTCTGGTTTGCTTTCGTCCTCGGCTTTGTCCATTTTCTTCAGTTCCGCGTCCTCGAAAGATTGCTTTAAAAAAGAAAAAGAAAAAGTTCAAATGTGATCTTTCATGAGACCTCGTTTATCTTGCAATCGTATCATTTTCTTAATAGACATTCACCACATTTGCAATCAAACTTGTACGATAGTTTATAAAATGTATTCCTACCGTAAGGTCTTCAATCATTACTTCTTGGCCAACGTTCTCATCCTGCAACCAGAGCTCGTAGTACGTTCGCGCGAAAATATTTATAGCCCGATGCCTGGAATAACATATACGAAATATATATACGATGATCCGTCAAGTTTGGAAATGTAACTGAGTATTAATCGTTTTACCTTCGCAACTTGTAAAGCGGCTCGCTACGCAGGCATGCGATCGCTGCCCTTTTTCTCGCGGCGCACAACACACGCTTCCAGCCATCCCGAGATGGTGGAGGTTTCGTTGCCTTTTAGCAGCATGCACACACAACTACAGTTGTTAGATAACTAACAAATAATTACAGGAGTCATTATCGATGGTTAACGTGTCAATTCTCGCTACTCTTACGATTAGAGAAACGAAAAGCACTGGTTGCTGGTTTATTCGGTGATAGTACGGTGATAAAAGACACTCGAAACGAACGTACAGGTATTAGATAGTTAATCAATTGTCTTCGTTTAGTTGTGTTTGATTACGATGTAGGAAACGAAGGCAAGGTGGGGAGGATACACCAGTAACGCGAAGCCAAAACCAAAAGAGGATACCTGGGCAGGGAATGTAGGGAAGTTTGACGGAAACAAGCGATCACAGCTCGTTTACGTTGTATCGACACCACGGATCGATATTGTCCCTTGCTCTGCTGTTGCGGATGATCTATCTACTCGAGAACACAAAATTACTAGATGAATCGGACGAAGAAGAAGCTTCGTCTATCTGAGAAATATGGATCGCGGAATAGTCTAGAAAGTAATGATTCGTGGCATCCTTCACTTACCATATGTAAACCGTAAAGAACTTTGGCCATGTCGGTGATCCTCGCAACCACATCCTCCAACTGTTGCGCTTTCACTGGTTCCATGGAGTCCTTCTTTTGGCCTAACTTGGAGTACAGATAATGCTGCCAGGACATTTCGTCGGCCGGGTCGATCTTGTCCGGCAGAGTGAGCTGCGTCTTCGCGAATTCCGAGATCTCGTATTCCGGCATTTTCTTCAGGAATCTGTCTTTGCAGTGTTGCACCAATTCTTGCTCGCGGCCAGCGAATAAGTTTAGACCAACTGGAAGCAACCTCTTCAAACAGGCCACCATCAAGGATGCTTGGACCTCCTTGTCTTTGTCTCTCTTCTTGTCACGATGCTTCTTCTTTTTCTGTCGGTTTAATTATGAAATTTACAGGCTCGTTTGTAAATTAATTGTCGCATTGTCGGCCGGCGTCTCACGAAAATTTTACTTTGCATCACTATTTTCGTAAGACGTACAGAAACGATTTTAGGCGTTGAACTCGATGTTTATGTTTTAATACGTACTTCTGGAAATTACTCGGTTGCCTGCAAGATACTACTTACGCGCTTGGTTTATTACATTTTACTTTGGCAATTGTTATTTTTTTGGAAAAGAACCCGTTGCATCCGAAATTAACTGAGATTTACGGTGGATATACATAGTTGTAAATTCTTTAAATCTATATACTCTATACGTGAGGGATATATAAATTTGACAAGCTAACTGTAAGTGTAATTACTAATTATCCTACGAACGATTGCAAAAATATCGCCGGTACCGAAACCTAAAGGCGAGGAGAAAAATATACGGCCGTCAAAGTGTTAAAATTACCATTGATTCCGGTTTCGTGACACTAACCTTGCCCCCTCCAGACGGCGCCGTTCCGTCCGAAATGGCAGCAGGCCTCCTGGTCGCCGTCGGCATGATCAGCACCATATTATCGATCTCGTTAGCCGATATGAAGTTCTGCTCCTCCCTCAAGAAATACTGAGACTTGGACCAAATGTTAAATATCGCTGCCACGTGATTATAGAGATCCTCCGCCTCCGGAATGTTATTCCTCAGCCAGTGATTCCTCTGCAGATCGACGTACTTGATCAAGAGTGGATAGAACGAGTAAATATCGCGAACCAGAAGCTGCCAGTCTTCTTGAATCTGCGCCTCGACTTGCGACGTGTCGTCCGTGGATGATTTAATAAAACCGCGGAGAGACTCTTCTTTGTGAAACATGTTGTCCGTGCGTTTCCTCACGCGTTCGGCGAGCGGCAAGAATGGATCCTTCAGCAGCTCCTCCGACGAGTTGATGATAATCTGCTGGGTATAGGCAGCGATACGGGTCATCCAAGGGGCATTCTCGTTACCGATGTTCTTCTTGATCAGTTTCAACACGTTCTTCAGCAGTTGGTTCATGTGATCGCTGGTGACCATGCTGACGTAGGTTCCTTCGGTCGGATTTACGTTGTCCGGGCCCTGAGCCCACCAGAAAGGCAAATAGGAGCAAAGCAAAGGAAGAATGACGTCAACCACGTGAGGAAGGTCGTTGTAGGTTTTTTCGGACTCGACGAACTGATCGACCTCCGTCAGAATCGTCTCCAGAGTAGGCATGCTCGATTCCATCTTCGTCATGATGTCCTGCGCTTCCAAGGAATGATCGGCTATGCGATTTAAGAGCGAGTACGGGTTGTGCTTGTTTAAATGGGGCTCGAGGAAGGCCACGGGGAAACAACTGGAAAAGGCACCTAGACAGGAACCTAAGTTGGGCTTGTGACGCTCGATTTCTGTCTTCAAATACTTCCTGTCGTGCGTCAGGGAAGAGTCCACGCCGAGAGTATACAGAGATGCTAACATTTTGTAGGATGCCACTTGAATTTCGTCCACTGTTTAAACACACAAGTAGATAAATTTCTTAGTCTCGTTACTAAGAAAAAAAAAAAAAAAATAATCGAAGGACATTTATCGTCGAAATTCCGTACTTACGCAACAAATCGCTGCCATACTCGCAGGAAGCCAAATGATCGAACATGGCTGTCAGCACCGGCAAAACCACGCTGTTGATGTACGACAAGGACGTGGAAGTTTTCAGATGCGTTCCTCTCAGGTGACTGTATTTGCCCTCTTGGAGATTCAGAATCGTGTGCCCTAAATCATCCGCAGTGTTGTTGAAGAACGTTAACATAGACGTTCGAATGAACTCGGGACAGTTCTTCACTAAGCTCTTGGCGTCTATGCCTTTCACTAACACTTGAAGACAGCGGACGGTAATCCTGACGTCTGGACCGAAAGCAGCCAGTCTAGATCTGAGTAAGCTAGCCAGTTTGCAAAACAGAGCGGCGACCATCTCCTTTTCTTTAAGGGATGCAGCCCCGACGTTGTTGGTAGCCGTGGCCACAGCGATGAAATAATTCTTGTGCGTACTAAAGTATTTCTCCATCAGCGGCAGCACGACTTTGCTGAAGAATTTGATGTCTCTCGTGGACGTTTTGAAGCTGTTCCTACGGCTGAACGTGTCTGATGGTTTCAGCAGTTTCATGTTGATCGTGGCCTTGTCCAAATAGGCTATCAGTTTCTCGAGCAACGAGTAGGCAAATCGCAATTCCACGGAGGCTCCAGCCGTTGCAACTTCCGACTCTCCGCCTCTGTTCGGTTTGTGAAGCTTGTAACCTTGATATTGCAGATACTTGAGAAATTCTTGGGAACGTTCGCGATCCTTTCGCTTCTCCTTGTCCGTTAAGAGATCGTACGGAACTAATTGAGGATGAATACCACCTCCTGCGAAGGGCATCAAGTCAAATATTCCGCGTCTGAATAATAAATTACCGACTTGTTCGTTTTTTTTTCGATTTTTGATACGAACCGCAAGTGATGAGCTCTTCCTTTTTCTTTTTTGCCCAGATGTCGTGCGCGTTGTCTGCAAGACGCTCGGCCATGTTCTGCATCTCTCTGCTCAGAGTCAAGTTAGTCATGTCGACTGGATGAGGGTTGTAATTAAACGGACTCGCTGAATCACCCTGAAATATCATTTCAGTCATTCGTATTCGGTGATCTACGTCGTGTAATGGGAATTTCTTACTTGACTTTTCGATGATCTACGCATTGAACTGCGATTGGTGGATGGTACGTCCACCTCTGCATGCTCGACGCTCCATCCTATAGCCAACAAAGCTTTCAAGCTCTCTCTGACTGGCTCTTTGTACCGTTCTCTCTCGTAATCGTTCAGCATGTTGTACGGTTTCAATCTCGGATGAGTCTTGTTCACCTCGGACCACTGTTCACCGTATGTCCAGCCATTTTCCAACTTCCGACTGGCCCATGCGTCGTGGTAATGCTCGGAGAATTTCTGGACTATCTGGTTGAGATCGTTGTTGAGAACCACGCTGTCAAAATATTAAAACATTAGCCGTTTGACGAGATTATAAATATTGGGTGACAATATTTATTTAATTCGAGAGTTTGACGTTTGAACATTGCCAAAAAGATGCTGTCAAATATTATAAAAAGTTAGCCGTTTGACAAGATTATCGGGGGACAATATTTATTTAATTCGAGTGGTCTGGATTGCTAATTCGATTTACATAATTTGAAAGTTGTTCACATTATATTACTTAGACAACTCTGTCGAGTGATACAGTACCTGGAGGTGTTGATCGGCTGAGGATTGTACGGTCCATCGGGCGACTGAGCGGATGCAGATTTACTTCCATACCACTCGTCGTCGTAATTCTTCGACAACGAATAGTCGGGTGGTAGGGCGCAACCGATGGCCGTGAGGCAAGGTAAAGCCTTCCCAAATAATTCTGGATCGTAGTCCATTTTGGACAACGAGTCGAAGATGTTGCTGAAAAGGACCATAGTCAGACGTTTCTCTTCGTCGCTGGACGCACCGTACGCGCCTTGTCCGCCAGTCGAGCCGTAGTATTTCCCGCAACGATCGTAATGAAGAGTCAGCAGCTGTTAGAAAATTACAAAATCACCGTCGATTCACAAAAATTCTGTTGGAAAAATTTGAAAGAACATCCACCCACCCTTAGAGCGACAGTCGTATATTCCGACAGCTTGGACACGTCCACCGTTAACTTTCGAAGCAGTTTCAGCAGCATGCTGGGTTGCATTTGGCTAAAAAGAAAGATAGACTGAACGTATCTCATAGAGGATCGAAGAGTCGAGGGCAGTGTATACTATAAGCGCCCGTTACCCTCGTAACGTAATTATGGTAATTACAATCGTAGGCGAGAATTAGCGATTTAAAGTAATGTTGTTGGAACTTACGAGACACTTAATTCGTGGACGTCTCTTGTCAAGCAACAAAATGATTCCGTTAATCGTTGCAGTCGTATTTTGGAGAAGCTTCGTGCTTACCTGGTCAATGCCACGAGGAAGTCCGACACTGCCTCACGTTGACCCTTGGTCAGCATCCTGTTCTTGCTCAGTCGGTACACGGTGTGCAAAGTTGCGTCCAACAAGCTGGCATAGTTATCTGCCTCGTTGTAGAACTTGGAATGCTTGATCAACAGAGGCAGAATACTGTTTCCAATGTAACGATTCATCGCTAGCGCCATGTCTGACTCGTACCCATCGTTCTGACAAGTTAATCGGACAATCGTTGAAAGTAATTAGACTTACAAAGTTTAGTAAATTCGGCCAAGTTGAAAATTCTCGTCTGAGTGATCTGAGATGAGTGATACTTACCCTGTCCAACATAGTGGCGGCTCTCAGATCGGGCAGAAACGCTTCCTCGAGTATCTTGAAGAACAATTCCCTGGTTTCGATGCCGTAAACGCGCTCCAAAAACAGAACAATGCTCTGCTTATGACCGGGAATCAGGCCAGACGGCGTGTCGCTTTTTGGCTTCTCCTCGCCCGCTGCAGGGTTCAGCAAGGTGAATCTCAGAGACAGGACGCCTTGCAGATCGTCGAGAGGCACCAGGGACCGAAGAATGGCCCTAGCTCGAAGAGACTCGTTCTTCCCTGGAAGAATTACTTCGATCAACAATCTCCTTCGCAAAACGCGATTAACGAAAAAAAAAAAAAAGAGAGAAAGAAAACTTTGATTTCGTATATATATTACCGACAGATTCTCTAGACGCCTCTGTTGCACGTCAAAAAATAAACACTGTTATTAGACACAAACAATATTGAAAGTTGCAAGGAATGAGGGAGCTTGCGGATCTCAATCTAAGTTTTTGGATGATGTCATTTTTACGGATAAAATTGGTTCTTGGGTCGCGAAATAAATATATAATCACGAAATTAAAGCGACGAGGTATGCGTGTATGTAGCACTGGTATTTAGAAAGATACTGCTATCGTGATATCGTAGGGCCGGGAGGGAGGAACGAACTCAACTTTCACTTACCTTGTTCGATAACTGAGGAATCTGGAGCGCAGCGACCTAGCAGATCCACCAGGGTACAGTAAAAGTTCAGAATCGCAGCTCCCGTGTCGATGTAGTCCTCGTCGTCGTCCGATTCCGGCAGTGGGTGCTCGAACTGCATGACAGCTGTACCCTCCGCTTCGTCGTGCACCGTTCTTCGATCAGCGATCCGTTCGGACATCTTGTTGGCGTCTATAATGGCTCTCAACAGACCCTCACCCTCACCACGAAGCGCTGGTCCCAAACACTCTGGTCTTCTGATCAGCAAACGGATCACCAAGTTTGCATTCTCCTCGACGCTTTCTCCTAGAAGGGATTTCGATCGTTTACGCGTGATCTCTCTTCGACGGAAAGAAAAAGAGAGAGAGAGAGAGAAAAAAAATAATTCGTTTCAAGACGGATCTTGGAAAATTTCGTGCTAACCGTTCACCCAAACGCAGAACCTCAAAAAGTCCAAGTATCGTTCGCCCTCCACTGGATCCCATCCCAGATCAGGATAACCTTTCTCGACCAGTTCGGAATTCGATTGCAAGCCGCAACGCGACAAATAGATGGCGATCTTCTCGAGGTAATGCTCTCTGAGAGCTAGAGCGAGCTCCGTGTTTTCCATGAGAGAGGAGTAAGCCACGTCTAACGGCGTCGAACCTCTTAAAGACGGTCTCGACAACAAGATGTTACTGTTCTCTAACAGGAAGTCGAAGTGATCGAACATGGCCTTCTGATTCTGCCTGGAGGTTCGACAGAAATAGCACAGGAACCTGCAGCACGCTACCACCATTTCGTGAGATGTATCCTTCTCTTTGGAAGCTGGTTCCCCTTCGGTTGTTTGAGGCTGCGTTTGAGCGTCCGACTGTGCCTGCGCGCGCCTGCCCAGCGTGTTCATCATGATCGCCATCACGTTCTCGTGAATTCTCAGCACTCTGATCAAGTCCGGATGCTGGAAGAAAGTGTGATTGTTGACCAACTTCCACAGCCGTTCGCGAACCAGTTCCTCCTCCTCCTGGGACATTTGCACGGGCAGCAAGGCACGGATCTGGCTGAGACCGACCCACATCAGAGCAACGTCGTCCTTGGTCTTGCTGTTGATCACGTAGGTCTTCTCCAGTGCCCGAATTAGCTCGCCCACGGTGTCGTATTGGCGAACCAGTAAACTGAACATTTCTCGAACCAACTTTGGCGTCTCTATCTGCGACTCCTCGGCCCAGCTGACGATGGTTTTTATCAGGACTTTGCGAAATACCTCTGTAATCAAAGAAGTTAAAGAAAAGTCAATCATCGAAAGAGGAATCGAAGAAAGAGAAGATAATAGATGACAATTAACACTGCGACGCAATTCCAACCTTCCGGTGTCTTCCTCTCGGGTTCAGGCTCGGGTTTAGGTTCCTCTTCGAGTTCCTTCACCGCGTTGATGAAGTTGAACAGCCTCTTAATGGCGCCCGGTTTCTGAACTTCTTCCGTCAGCTCCTCTATAGCGTCTGCTGCTTCCTGCAGTGCGTGCAACGACACGTAGGACATGAGATTGTTGTGGAACTCGTTCATCCTGCCGATCAAATCCTCCCCGCAGGGAATGTTCTCGGGATCTTCCTCAAAGTCCATGTTCTTGAAGCTTAGAATCGCGTTCATTTGCTCACGAGGCGGACACCTAAACTCTCTGGTTTTCTTCGCCGCAACTGCCGACGGCAGGTCGGACTGTTTGATCTCGATGTAACGGCGAAGCTGATCGGATTGAAGATCACCGACGAAGTCGTGGCTGAAAGCGATGATGGACTCGACGCGATGTCGAAGCTGGATATCGTTCAAGTGGTGGAGAAGATAGCACATCTGTAGTTTCGCGCCCTCGGCCATCTTCATGTGAAGCAGTCCCTTCTTGTGCTCGTCTTTTCCTTCTGAAATTGATTTGTATTTAGGAGAAAATTTTTAATTTCAATTTATGTTAAAAATTAGTGGAAGAATCATTACAATATTAGTAAATAGTAGATTGGAGAATCATTACAACACAGTTTACAATTTGATTGATTTATATTTTGTGCCTTGCGTGAAAATTTCAATTTTAATTTATATCAGAGATATAGCAGATCGGAGAATCACATACAGTTTACGGTTTAATTGATTTATATTTTGCACCTTGCATTTAAGAGAAAATTTTAATTTTAACTTATGTCAAAAATACAGTAGGCTGGAAAATTATTAGAACGCTAAAATAAATTATTGGAATTTAAAAGAAAATTTTAATTTTAATTTGTATCAAAGATATAAAGTAGGCTGAAGAGTTATTACAATACAGTTTACCTTTGTCAAACGTCGGATCCCAAGTCTCTGGGTGAATCATAATCAAAAGCTTCATAATATCCTCGTTCCTTAGCATTCCGACCAAGAGCAATCTGTCAACTAGTTTCAAAAGCGGCCTGCAATAGACAAAGATCATATGAATGGGAAAGAGAACGAGAACGAACGCGAATCTGCGGCAGCAAGCAAGTTATCCTGAAAGCATTCTCTTCCATCTTATCGTTGCCGAAGACGCTAAATATGCAGAATAGCCCAGGCGTGTACGCGATCGTTCGACTACATACAGAAAAAGATTCTCATTGCTGCCGCCAATAGGGTCTCGATTGTGAACTTGATTCACTTCGACGGCCTCTTTCAGTGCCGTCATCACGTAGTCTCGCACCACGTCCAGAGGGAAGTACGGACTGTAGAGGCTCCTTATATCCTCGATCGTTTGGTCGCTGGAAGGAATATCCCTTGATGTCGACTATTAGTCACGGGGTTCGCATCTAGTTTCGGATCGACTTTACTTACCTGATGTCTGTCATTTTCATCTGAGGACGAACCGACTCGGTTTCCAGATACCTGAGGCTGTGCTTCATCTCTTCGCTCTCGTACAATTCCTTCAGTTCCTGGCCTGTGAAACGAACAGAGAAACAGGGAGTTTCATTGCAAAGTACTTTCTACGTTTTTGAGTAAAAATATCTGCGTGCAGTATATTCAACGCATACATAACGTATATTTTACGCATATCTGCGTAATTTTAATACGAGAATATGAAATAATAGTTAAATATAAAATGTTTAAGAAAATCAGTTCACCTAAAGGAATGATGTACTCGTTCGTGCACACTTCCATCGTGGTCGCGTGCGACTCGAGATGCAGCGCGATCAGCAAGTCGTAGAATCCTTGTCGTAGGGGCCCGGACATGTATTCCGCTCGAATCGCGTACAGTAATTGTTTCTGATCGACGTGCTGGCAGAGAGCGTGCGCTGCTCTGTAATTCGACTGGTAGCACAGAGCTGCGTACAGCGTCAGAGTATGCGCGTGGAAACTGCAAACGAATGCGGATACAGTTGAGCTTTGCTTTAACGTGCCGAAGCGTGAAATCTCGGGGATGTCACGCCGCCAAATTTTACCTGAGCAGTTTGTCCATCTCGATAAGTTCCAATATATCGATACACCTGTCCTCTTCGGGGATGTGCAATGCCAACATCGATATAGCGTCCTCGCACAGCATGGACCAACCTCTAATGTCGGACAGCTTCAGAGCGTGAACCTGAAGCGACTGATTTGGAACTCTTGCCCATTGGTGAGGCTTCAGACATTGCACCTTCAATCTAGGCGGGAACTGTGGTATCACGTGACGTTCCGAGTTCTGCAGCACAGCAGCGGACAACGGTAGCGTCGTCGAAGTTCTTCCAAGTTCGATCTGAAGGATCTCTTTGCTGGTAGCTTCCACGAAGATGGCGGGGAACAGCTTTGTGTCGGGTTCCATCTTGAATTTGTGGCTAGTCTCCTTTCCCTCGCAGGTGAAGGACACCCAGCCAGTCGCCGTGTCCACGAAACATCCGACAAACATCCCCTGGGAAGCTCCTTTGCCGGACGCGTCTTGCGTCACTTCGTTGTAGAGCTCGTCCGCTCTTACCATGTAGCAGCTCTGTCTGTCCACTCTGCGACGAATAGCTCCGAGTTATAGTTTTGGCGTTTGAAATTGATTACATCGTTTCTATTAACGCGTTTCGTGCCGCGTGGAGCGTTTACAGCCCACAGTGAACTTTCTGTTCAAGCCATTTGGAATTTTCATTGTGAAACGAAAAATTTTTTAAAAATTTGTTATAAAGTCGAAAGTCATTAAAAATCAACTCAATTCGGTAAGAAGTTGTAAAATTTGTTAAAATAACGTTAAGGTAAATATTACTTATTAGTATTTACTATTATATAATTTATATAATAAATTATTATTATTTAATATTATTTAGTACATAAACAATAATACTAAAAATAATTTGGAATAAAATCTTTCATTTTAAATTAATTTCGACATCGTTAAAAAATTGTTTGTTAAAGTAACATCATAAAGTTAAATTTACCTCTTTGTTCTGTAATGCATCTTAAACTCCAGACATTCTTCATGATAATTACAGTTTTTGCACTATTATAAAAATTGTGAACGCATATATTTCAGAAGCAAAACGTATTTTAATCGTAATAGCCCCACGCGGCCTAAACGGAGAGTAATCAAAAATCGGCCCGTCACGAGACGTGTTCAAGAAAAAAGAACAAACAAAACTTACTGTTCTATAAGGCGATCGTAGTCGTCGGTGATAACCACGGAGCCCTTCCTCACGCGTGACAGATTAAAGTCCTTGGTGTGTAAGTGATACTGAGAAGTGACCCAGCCGACGTAGACGTGCGTTGGATCCTGTCCGGGAAATATTCTCACTCCGTAGAAGTACTCGTTCATCAGTTTCATGCACTCCGCGTCGAATATCTCGTTTCCAATCGCCTCGACACCGCTCCCGCTGAGAACCGACATTGCCTTCGGCGCGTTGCGTTCTGGGATCTGCGGCGGCACCACCTTCAAGTCCGTCTGTGGAGCAAGTTTCTCCTTTGATCTTTTCGAACCAAGTTCGACGCGAGTGAAATCACGGCGCAAGCAGACAGTTGGACAGATACACAGACGGACAAACAAACAAAATAAATAAAAGTTTTTACGTTTGATATGCGAATTTGAGGTAGCCGGCTACTTGCTTTGTTCATCGACAGAGTCTTGGTGCTCTTGTCGGAGACGTCCGAGCGCACCGGTGGTTCGGGCGTTTTCGACTTCGCGTCCGGAGACTTCGCTTTGCGCGAGAATAACCTGCGAGAAGAAACAACACCAGTTTACGCGATGTACATTTCACCCTCGTGCAGTTCGCGTTCTTCGTGTGAACGAAAGGAATTTGCGAGAGGAGTGAAAAAGTTTCGCGGTGTGCATAGATTCGATTGATTCAACTTACGGGGCATCCTCCATCTCTTTGCTAAGTTTGCTAGGAAGATCAGAATATCAAAAATCTGTTTCCCCGAGGAGAAGAAAACTGATCCGAGAACCGAAAAGTGAGATTATACTAACCGGAACGGTGAACGCCCGCGTTTCTTCTTGTCGTCTTTGATGTCGCCGTTCATATTGCCGTATCCATTCATATCAGCCTCGCTGATCGCGTTGTCCATGTTTCCACCCCGCGATCCGTAGAGAGAACCCTTTCTCGGCGGCCTTGCCGGTTTGTTTCTCTGCATGGGCAGCGGCGACTCCTTCATCATTTCGTCGGCTTCCACCGCGTCCTCTGAATAATTCCTTTGCAATCCTGGGGCAAACAGAATTTTCGTTAGAGAGAATTTAGAGATAACCGCTCTGCCTTTGAATAATTCGCCGGGCGATCGTCTTGGGGAAGATGGAAAATGTTTGTTTAAAAAGGGTCTCGCAGATTTGTATATATATTTGTAATCATGAGAGACCACTTTGGTTATCGATCTTACCCTTGATGTCGCTCATACTGAATCCAGATTTCATAATCTGCTCCATGTGAGCGGAAGGCGCCGCTTGTTGAGCTTGCTCCACCTGCTCGGACAGCAGTTTATTCTGTCGCATTTTGATCTCCTGCCACCTTCGCAGCTTCTCGCTCTCGGAGACGAACGTCGACTGACAAATAACCGGCAAGGACAGCCGAAGAAACTCCCAGTTCGCTTTCTCCATCGTCTCGAACATGTTGTGAGAGATCTTCAAGCACGGCGGAGTGTCAGAACCCGCTGGGATCCTGGCCACGTCGATCCTCGTGTCGGCCATGTCATCCGTGTTCTCGAAAATCGGTTGATCCTTGGTGTACCAGAATGTAACCGGACGATTCATGTTTCTGGCGTATTAAGAACGATTTCAGACTTGGTAGGTTGAGTGACTCGGTGAAGTTCGTGACAAGAAAGAGGCGAAAGAGATACATCTCTGATAGGCATATAATGAAATAGAATCATCCTTTTTAAGTATAGTACCGATTACTCGGGACATATGTCTAAACTATGATTTCAGACACCTCCACGACTCAACGTCGACGTGGATAAGAGCATTTTTTTTTATTAGCCACATTTAACCTTTTGCGCTGGAATGATATGCCACGCACGTCGAGAATTTTTTGTCCCAAATTGCAACATTTTCACAGTTTTAAGTATATATAAACCAGGCAAAAACAAATGATAACTTTATTATTTCTTAATAACTTCTATCCTTTAAAGGAAAAAGAAAGCGACAAATTATTGTATACGGTCACTCGTTATGGTCCGCGAACCAGTTGCCAGCGCAAGGAGATGGGAAAATCGGGAGAAGTGCAACCAGAATGCATCTCTTCCAACAATCTTGCTGATTCGGGATTCGGATTTATGACTGACGTGTACTACTTACACGCAGAATGGTTCGTATCCCTCTTGCAGACCGCACGTCGTGAAAAATTTCAGAGTGTTCACGTCCTGTCCGAAAGTCAATTTCGCTTTCTGTCCGACGCCGAGCGTGAATGCTGGCACGAAACAGTCGCCCTGCACGTCGGCGAAAGACGTTTCACCACCGAGCGCGTCCATCAGCAGTTCTCCGTTCAGAGAGAAGCCTGCGTATTTCAATTGATGCTTGTGTCAAGAGTGCTCGTAGTGAATTTCAACGGGTTTGGGATTAATTCCAAGTAAAGGGGTAAATGCGACTAGCAGGTTGAAAGTTTAACGAAGCGTTACGTAATCGGGGGAGGCTGGCAGCAAGTGCAAAGGCGAAACGCGACTATGTGCAACTATGCGAAGCGGGTGTGAAACATGCATGCAGGGACGGTGCTGTCGTAAAATTACGGAAAATATTAAGACACGAAAGTAGATTGACGTTATCACGATGAGAATTGATCGTCGAAAAGAAACAGATAAATTTTGCAAGGAAGTAGAAGGGCGTTCACCATTGGTTTACTTCAAAGAGAATCTGAGATCCTCGACCAAAAGCCAAACGGTGTTTGTTCGAGAGAACTCGTTGAAAATTTTTTCGTAAGTTCAGCAAAATTTTCGGAATTTCGTTTCTCACATTAGTTAAGGTTAGGCAAATATGAAAATCGTATGAAATATTATGAAAGCATTATTGCTGTTATTTACAACTGAGTAGAATACTGGATACGAGAAGAATACAAGAACACACATGATACTGATGAAACTCGTATGAATTCGGTCGCAAATGAATGGAATATATATGTACGTAAAAGCGTTGCCGTGATAATGCGACAGGATGAAATAATAATCTACGGTAACGAGTATCTGCATGTATTCGGAAAGCAAATATCGTAGTATATTCTCTTTGCTGTACGACGGTGCAAAGTTTGATTGATTAAGCAAACTCATACAAATTGTACGGGACATCGGTGTAAAAATAGGTGTATGATACGTTTGCACGATAAAGACTAGAAAAATGTGGGCTATTTGTTCGACTTTGGACTTCTGTATGTATCTGGAAGCAACAGTATCTGTGTATCCAGTAATCTAGCTCTTGGATCGAATTATGTGTATGTAGTAGCTTGAAATGGCAGCTGAAGCGTTCGCTTGAAAGAATCGCCGTCTTACTAATTGTTCGGTCAATTAGATCCAGGAAAACCCCGACAACGTCTCCAACCTGCCATTGTTTGCCAAATGTCTCGGCTGTGCCCGAGTATACTTTTTCCTCCTTTAAAACAAAATTTCACCAATTCATAATCGTCGTTGGTGACCTGTGCACGAACCACGACACGTCTACCTCGCGGCTAAATACGTTCAACGTCGATGAAATTTTCAATGTACCGTTCGACACGTGTATTATGTATGTATACGTGGTATGTTTTCACGGGCGCGAGATTAAGGTTTGAACAGAGGCGAAATAAGACACAGACAAACGACGTACACTTACGATCGCTACGCTGTACAGATATAACTTTCACGTTTCACGGAATTACCCCGCGGTCGCTGGAAAACGTCAAGCCACACTTCTCGAACGAAATACTCAAGTCAATTTCGTTCGACAATTTCGTTCGACAAAGAAACGCAGGAAAAAAACGAAGAGAGGAACAATCAAGTCAACATATAGAGAAAAGAACATATAGAGACAAAGACAACAGTAGTGATGAGAAAAACTCAAAGAAAAAAAAGACAAAAAAAAAAAAAAAAGAAAAAGAAATGGCGGGCCTGCAGATCGAATTATTGGGAAAAAATTGGACTCTTACTGATCGTTCGGTCCGCGACGTCAATGAAACATCCAACTACGTCGCCCACTTGGTATCTGTGACCAAATGACTCGTGGATACCGGCGTGTACTTTAGTCACCTGACATTCACGATTGGTATCAATTATATTTGTCACCTGTGCAGCTTACGGCGTTCAGAATTGCAAATGCAAATGGACAAAACGTCCATCTTACCGTGAACATTGTCGAAGCTATTGCAATGGATAACGATTCGTCGTGCGATAACTCGTACATACGTGAACTACACTCGTTCTCTCATTTCTCGTATATACGCGAACTCAGTGTCTTTGGTAATACGTTGCTCGAATTATTTGCATTGGATAAACGGATACTGTGGAGGGATACTCACGTTGTAGCCGTCGAATGCCCAAGTGTTCTCGTCGCTTCCCAGCATGTTTCCAGGACTGCAGTCAGCTTTCGCCCAACCGACGCGCATGGGACCGGCTGTCAGCACCTCGAACTCGAAGTACCATTTCCCGCCACTCACCGCATAGTGTTTTTCCACGCGATACGTTCTGAAGTACAGTTGTCGTAGCCTGCTGGCTTCCAACAGCAGCGCTATGGAGAACAAACAAACGAAGTCTAGCAACGATTCACACAATGGCAATCTTGATTTCGCAATATTTTCGTATGTTTCACCTTCGTGCTGTTCGCCGGTGGGTGGTTCCAACATGTATCCATAAACCAAAAGAGTCCTCACGGTCTCGCTAGCGGTGTCGCGGTTCGCCTTCTTGATCGCTTCGTCGACTTTCGGATAGGGTACCAAATGGGGGCTCCTCCTCATCTCGGAGTCTTCGTTCAGACCATAGGTCCAACCCTGACTGATCCGTTCCTTCGCCCACAAGTTGTGCGTGTTCTCTGCAAGTTGATCCACCAGCTCCTCCATCTTCGGAGTAAGCGTGATGGCGCTGAGGTCGAGAGGGGCCGGCTTGTACCCGCTACTTTGCAGAAACGGTTCGTTGGGAAGCCTCAAAGTCTTTATTCTGGATGGTGGTTTGTCCATCGTGATGTAATATCCCAAGGCTAGGATGGTTTTCAGCGTCTGCACTGCTAGCTGAGTGTCGTAACGCTTCTCCGCAGCTGGCAATCGCTCGAACTGAACGATACACGGATGAATCTTTCTCATGTCGTCCCTGTGCTCCCCGTATATCCAGCCAGCCTCGATCTTGTTCATCGCCCACATCTCGTGAATGTTCTCGGCCAGTTTATCTCGGATCTGCTCGACGTAAGATGGTAAATTGACCATGGACGTGTCGACCGGACTTGGGACGAACGCCGTGTCGTCCTCGACCAACCACGGCCCAGCCAGGACCACTTTGTTCATGTTCCCGAAGTAGAAGCAGGGGTCCAGAGACAGAATCTGCTGTGGTAGTAAACTTTCTATCAGAGGTGAGAACTCTTCGGGCGGTTGAAACTTGAGTCGGCCGTGGTCACCGCCCAATAGGAATCGACAGGACAGCTTGGACGAACAGCTGATCGCCGGGAAGAACATGCCGTCGAGGTTGAAGTTTCGGAAGGATCCCATGATGGGCGCTCCGTTGAACGTGAACGTGATTATGGGCACGGTGAGGTCCAGCGCGCATCCGATCACGTCGCTCTTTCGGATGTACGGTTCCGCGGCGTTGTGAACGACTTGAGTCTTTCTACCACCGGTCCATAGGTACGCGCCGTCGAAGCCGAACGAATAGAGGTCGTCGCCAACACCGTTTCCTCCCCATTTCTCGCCGCCACCGGGATACGGCATGTATCTTCGCGGAAAGAAATGAACAAGCGCTTAATCGAACTGAGGAGTTCTCCATTGAAACATGATGGTAATCTTGCGAAAGGTGATTTCATGTGGAAGAAAATGAGTCGAGAAGAGGGGACAAAATTCTTCCTTTAGAGCTTTTGTTTTCGAGAAAATCGACTTTGAAAATTTATCAAGTACTACGAGACATATTCACAGCCTATTTGCGTGAAACGAAAAAATTTTATTTTACATTTTTTCACCTAATTTTCCACGTGGAATATCTTCGCGTCGATTACTGAGTATTGAACTAGCCAAAGTATACTTGATAAATTCTTAAACTCGACTATCTTGAAAACGAAGGCTACAATGAGAAATTTCTTTCTTTTTGACTCATTATTTTTACCACCTGTTCTAAGACACTTTGTGTAATCATATATGTATATACAAGAGTATTCGTTCTATACGTGTGAATATTTAGATATGTTTCAATATGGCTGTCTCACAATAATCAGATTACTTTCTTGGCGACCTTCATTCACACGTTCAACAGCTATAAAACCATTTTAAAGTGCCAACGACGCAATGAAACCTTACGTAACTTTGTGATAAGTGATCAATGAATCGAGTTTGACGATTCTGCGTGATCGTCCGTGACAGAAATGTAACAGTCTATCGACTTACCCGGCCGTATTCGCCCATCCTATTCTCAAATGTGGCATCATATGCGTAGTCTGCTCGATGTGGTCAACGGTGACCTCGAAATACCACTTCTGATAGAGCGCAGAGTTCTCCACTCTGCCGACGAATATGTTTGGTCTGACGCTAGCCACGTGGTCGACCAGCTGCGTCTGAAGAAGAAGATTCTTCCCCGGTAGCAAAAAGTCGCAGATGTTGTTCTGCGAGGATCGAACAGCTACGCCGTTACCCACGCAAAGCGAACAGAGTACGTCCAAGACTTTCGGATCCCTTCCGTGTTTCTCCAGCAAGGAGATGATCACTTTGATGTGCTCGTCCTGCGAAAATACGCGAAATACATTGAAATTCGTAAACTTCGAGCTTAAACACGATTGACTCGGTTAAATGCTAACTCTCATCATGTTCAAAGCTTCGGGCGAGTCGATAAGAACGCAGTGAAGCACGTCCAGCATTCCGGTGCCCTCGCTGGAAGCTTGCGAGCCCAATCGGCTGAACAGCCAGTTCAAACGATTGCTGTTGGCGAATTGCGCGCAGTTCGTGTGATTCCCTTTGATGATAGCCGCCAGTAATTGATACAGGTATCCAGATATTTGGTCCCAGGCTTGACCGCTCTCGTCTCCGGAAAGTGCCACGAGGAAACCCTGCGACGTGATCACGTTGATCTTGTCGATGGCTTCGAGGATCAGGTTCAGTATGCCTTCCTCTTGGAACAGGTCCTGACGATTTCTCAGCGCTCGGAATCTGTTCTGCTTCTCTTCGTGCTCTGCGTAAAAATCATCGTGCCCATTGTCAGCCGGTTGCAATGACAGACAATGTCCGCGCGATTAATAACGCCACCGCTTACCCATGTCGTCTTCGGGTTGAGCAAAGTAATTAATCAAGTCTTCCAAACACATCACCATTTCGTTCAGATTCACATTTTGGAAGAACATGGACGCCCTTCTATCTACTTGCAGCGTCTCTAGGCCTCTAAAACATATTCGGTCCTTTTAGCGAATTTCCCGCCTTGTCCGTCTGCTATTTAAACTTATCATTCGATTTGCAACGGCTCTGTACGCTTCCATCCAAGCCTCTACCATTTTTTAATTGCGGTGTTTTAATGCCGGAAAGACAACTTAGCTCCTGATGCAAAATGTCAGTGTGGCAGTTTAGTTCAAGATCTCAACCATATAATTTGGCAGTGCCCCAATCTCAACGACAATAGGAATGTCTTAATTAATAAACTATGTGGAATGGGTTATTTCCCACCCCACACAATGGACTTTTTTTTAAGCAAATCATATATTACTCCTCTGTTGATTATTCACAAATTTCTCAAAAGCCATGGTTGGCATCTGTCGAGTGCTTAGCTGTGTTTCTCAGTGACTTAACAGTTCTCTTAGTTTTAGTTGTAAGCTTTATTTATAAGTACGTAAGTAGCAAACATGTAACTTAGTTGTATATCAGTGTAATCCTTGTACAAAAGTCTGCGAAATTGTTTCTGTACTGTTAGTATACACAGCAATATGCATGCTGCTAATAACCCTGTAGAGGGTTCTATAGCGTAAATAAAA